GACTTGCCACGGTCTCCAACCCTCCTCCTTTCTCATCCGGGCTTGGGACCGGCCATGGCGGAGTTATGTACCGTTAATTTTGGTTTTAAATATATTGAACGTTTCTTTATTCACTCTATCGTATGAATCGTGGTTCTTACTTTTAGAAGGTAGCATAAGGGGAATAGGAACCTATAAGACATTGCTTGCGATGAACAAAAGATCGCACTAATGAGCAAAATGATGTCAGATGCATCTAACAGTGTGGTGTTCAAATTTTGTTGAGCCTACCGGCCTGCATAAATATCTTACCCCCAACGCCGCTGTATTTTTTTTAAATTTAAACTATAGCTTACACCCTGTGCTGACTTTTAGTCAGCTATCAGGTGGTCAAGGCATATTGTTGGCATAAAGCGCACGCTTTAGCATGACCATATCAAAGCACCATGCTGTTCCATTATTCATAGGTCAGTGACCTAGTACTTTTTTCTGCTGATTGCATCGAAGCACAGTGAGGTTTCCTTGTTCAAGGGAATTAACAGTTAATACGAAAAACGCTCTATTTGAACTCGCGCTCTACCTTGAAAATCAATCGATTGACCACCTGCGTCATTGCCCCCTCCCTCCCCCCCAAAAAAAGCTACGTGGCCATGAGCAAGAGAGTATCGCAATATGTCGTGAAGTCTGATTTTGGAATGGTTGAGCGCTTTCTGAAACTTAATACTTGAACCCCACGAAGATCTCATATTAGAGGGAAGGCGCAGTTTAAGACATCTGACCATGTAGCTTGCCGACCTGGAGAATGCAGATGATATTATCATGATTAGCAATGCGGGACAAGGGTTTTGATGATTTCCATATGCAATGCAGCTGTGAAGGTTTGCTTCTCTCTTAGCAAAGGAAAACTTTATAAGGAACCAGTTACAAGGACTTGACTAATCTGCCGGTAGAACAGAAGGAGGAAAGCATATAGGTGGTCGACCACTGTACGTATCACGGCTTCATCTTTAGCAGTCGCACCATTTAGCCAGAATTAAATAGGGGGATCGCCAGAGCCTCGAAGGCTTTTGGAAATCTGCCTAGTATATGGGCTGAAAAACGAGTAACTCCTAAAAATCCTATGCACCCTGCGTCTGTTAAGGCAGTGTTGGTTTGCGGCACAGAGACAGTTATTCGAACCGGAAGTAAGAGCAGCAGGCGATCTGCTAACAGTAGCATTGGCTTCGATGCGTAGCAGAGGCTGAGTGTCAGGAACGCCTAGAAAATGACTCGGTTCTTCAGAAGATGTGGAGATTAAGACAAGGATGTTGGCTATGTTATACTGACTGATTGAGTAAAAGCCATATACTCTGTAGCAAGCTTCTCATGTGGCAGCCTAAACCCGTCAAGCGTCGACGAAGTGGCCAACATGCGACACTGGAAACGAGGCGGAGGTAGATCTGCTTACAAAGAGAATTTGCTCCTTCTGCGACGCGTTGAGTTATGTCTGATAGAAAAAGTGTTGGAATGCTGTGAATACAGCAGCCATCACAAATCAAAAGACGTTTTGTTTATACAAACGGCTCAAGCTGATGATCTCAACGAACACCACGCACATCTATACATTTCTGGGTAGGAGTCTGTTTTCTATGTTTTGATAGTAACATATGGTAGGGGCTCCTGGAATCCAGTTGGTGAAGAGAAATTGTTGTTCCAGCAAATAAAATGATGCAAAATTCACCTAGCACTGTTGTCTCTCGAATAGTATGGAGCGTAGCCTGATCAAAGGTTCCCTAAGCCCTAAGTGAAAAA